GTAGATATAGATGAACAATTTTGAAAAATGCATTTTTAGATAGTATACATTAATATAAGGCTATTTTCGAGTCGTTCCAGCATACTTCATTTTTCAATCTATTTTAAGTCGACTTGGTCCCGTTAACTAAGAATGAGTGACTAAGTTGTTCTTGTAAATTATCTTAGGTTGTGTGGAACAAACAGCAGCGATTATAAATCATCACACAGGGGATTGCTGTTAACGCTGTCACCTGATGATATGGTAGTACACTGCTACAAGTTGGATGGTACTGATACAACCTAGAGGAGAGATTGCACATAATGTCAATAATCATAAGATAAGACTGATGATATGTTAGTACACTGCTACAAGTTGGATGGTACTGATACAACCTAGAGGACAGATTGCACATAATGTCAATAATCATAAGATAAGACTGATGATATGGTAGTACACTGCCACAAGTTGGATGGTACTGATACAACCTAGAGGACAGATTGCACATAATGTCAATAATCAAAAGATAAGACTGGTTTTCACTACCAATGAAAGTGAATTAATTAATTAGTTAATTAATGTTTGCTAATTATTCTGTGGTTTACAATTAGTTTTGTTATACCTTTTTTATAGAAAATTACAGTATAGAACAATTGTAGTTATTTAAAGATTGTACAGGAATTCATCATTATTATCATCATCATTAATACCATCACCATCATCATCATCACAATCATCATCACCACCCTTTATCACCACTATCGTCATAATCATCACCATCATCAACATCTTTATCATAACCATCATCAACATCATCATCATCAACATTACCATCACCAACATCAATTACATCATCACCATCACCATCATTATCACCACCCTTTACCACCACCAACGTCATTATCATCACCATCATCATCAACAGGTTATAATTTTTAATATCAACTATTATATTGTAGAGAGCCTTTATACTTTACTAAGGTATGGCACAGTGGTGCTAATAATAGACATTACTGGCTGATGTAAAAGGTTACAGTAGTAATAGATATTACCATTATCCACTATTATATTGTAGACTGCCTTTATACTTTACTAAGGTATGGCACAGTGGTGCTAATAATAGACATTACTGGCTGATCGATGTAAAAGGTTACAGTAGTAATAGATATTACCAATATTCACTAGTATATTGTAGAGAGCCTTTATACTTTACTAAGGTATGGCACAGTGGTGCTAATAATAAACATTACTGGCTGATTGATGTAATGAAAGGTTACAGTAGTAATAGATATTACCA